TAGTTTTTTGGTGTTTGGATGAGCTTCCTGGTTTTTGCCCCTTCCTTCATCCCTGATGGTGTATGACTTGTTCTGGTGCCTTTAGGACATGCTGCCATCTCTGGCTACCTTCTTCCCATCGGCTCATAATCCTTAGGCCTCACTGTGTGCAAAGAAATTTACCAAAGCGAATGGAACCCAAAGGTCAAAGCTAAAGTGTGCCCAAAATAGCTCTGACTTATTAAACTGTTGCACTGACAAGGAAATAACCTAGTCAAGCGACAGGCAGAACTGGTCTGTGTTCTTGCTGGAGGCAAAGCTCGATTGTTCTGTAAACAGTCATTTTTGCATTTTGTAGAGAACCTCTCACACTCTCTTGCCAGTTCAGGCCTTTGGGAAGTCCTGGATCACTGGAGCTGCCCGGCCTCAATGCAGCTATTTTTACTTGTCCGCCCCTTCAATGTTATCCATCTGGAGTTTATACTCGGGAGTGGCAGTGACAGCTTTCAGTTCCTGTTCATTTTCTCCTCACACAGTTGATTTCCTCACCTAGCAGTTCTAAACCCAGTAGACCCCCACCCTCAGGACAGCATTTGCTCTTAGCCAGAGGTGTTTCTTTCCCACTTGACATGAACTAGATCACCTAGCTTTCAAAATAATCCATTGTTTTCATTTTTCTTTTTTTTCACTTTTTAAAAAAGTCTGTGATGCTGATATCAAAATGAGTATCTTTTAGAGTAAGTTATTATTTTCCTAAAATTTAGAGTACTCATCAAATAAAATAACACATGTGAATGACTTTTGTAAACTCCAAATCCTTACTCAAATAGCGTGTACTTTCTGTACTGAGTGTACACAAGCTTGTTAGACACACCTTTTATAGCTTCAACCCCCTCTTTTTTCTTTCCGCTGCACTTGCTTCCTTTAATAGACATCTGTTTATGAACTCTCTTCCCTGTATTATCTTAGTTGTATTCATTATTGGAATATATATTAATGATATTAACAGTCATATCTCCAGACTAGTATCATTGTACTTAAATGTTTGGAAAGCTTCAAATGTCCGGTAGTCAGTGCCTTCAGAAGATGACCAGTTTGAGAAATTCAGAGCTTTCCAAATGTTCACCCAAATATTTTTCCAAGATAGTTCTTACTAAAATATGATCAGAGAGTGACATGCTGTACTTTAAATCCTATTGCAATGCTTGTTTTGTTGTTACTACTTTTTCTTCACTTTTCCTAAAGTTTAACCACTATCAATTTTTTGTAGAAGATTACTGGATACTGATGATGAACTCAGTGACATTCAGTCAGATTCAGTCCCATCGGAAGTCCGGGACTGGTTGGCTTCTACCTTTACACGGAAAATGGGGATGATGAAAAAGAAATCTGAGGAAAAACCAAGATTTCGAAGCATTGTGCATGCTGTTCAAGCTGGAATTTTTGTGGAAAGGTTAGTAGACTGTTGGTATCTCAAGACAAAATTTGAAAGGCAGCAAATATACTTACTATATCAAAATTATGAGAGTCATATTTTCCTTATTGAGGAGAACTGCAATTATAAGTATACCTAGAATGAATAGATATAGGACTTTATGATGAATTTACCTACAGCAAAAATGTCTTGTCCTGGATTTATTATTTTTATTTATTTTAAATTGATGTAAAAACTAAGATTAAAGACTTTTCAAATGACTATTCACCTCGTATGAACCTTTGTAAATAACTGTTTAAAAATGATTATGATACATTCATATGCTACAAAGCTAATTTTACCTGAATAAATGTAACATCTGATAAAATAGGTTCTATACTACATACCAAAATCAAGGGCCTCTTCTCTGCGCTAAAGAGAAAAGACCATCCTCTTACCATCATGGAGGAAAGCTCTCTCGTGTCTAATTTTCTTGAAGAGCTTTTTAACATTTCTGTCTCTTGACGGCGCCTAGAAGCACCGAGTCAAATCACCAGAGTTTCTAATGTGAAACACATGTTAATATGACTCAATTTTATGTTCTATTTTTTTAACTGAAGTATAGTTGATTTACAATGTTGTGTTTGTTTCACAGCATAGTGATTTAGTTATACATTTTATTTATATATATATATATCTTTTTCATATTCTTTTCCATTATAGATTATTACAAGCTATTGAATATAGTTTCCTATGCTATACAGGAGGACTTTGTTGTTTATCTATTTTATGTACAGTGGTTTGTATCTGCTAATTACAAATTCCTAGTTTATCCCTCCTCTACCCCTTTCCCCTTTGCTAACCATAATTTTTTGTTTTCTATGTCTAAGTCTGTTTCTGTTTTATAAATAAGTTCGTTTGTCTTTTTTTTTTAAGATTCCGTGTATAAGTGATATCATATGATATTTGTCTTTCTCTGACTGATTTATTTAACTAAGTTTGATAATCTCTAGGTCCATCAGTTGCTGAAAATGGCATTACTTCATTCTTTTATGGCTGAGTAATATTTCATTTTATATATATATATATATATACATACATATACACACACACACATACACATATGCACCACATCTTCTTTATCCAGTTATCTGTCGATGGACATTTATGTCGCTACCTTGTCTTGGCTATTGTAAATAGTGCTGCTATGAACATTGGGGTACATTTATCTTTTCAAATTAGAGTTTCCTCCAGATATATGCCCAGGTGTGGGATTGCTGGATCATGTGGTAACTCTATTTTTAGTTTTTTAAGAAATCTCCATACTGTTTTACCTAATGGCTGCACCAAATTACATTCCTACCAACAGTGTAGGAGACTTTCTTTTTCTCCACATCCTCTCCAGCCCAATTTTACATTCTTTAGCCCTTAAGACCAGTTTATTTTTCTGTCTGGAAACAAGATGTTTTAGAACTAAAACTACAAAAAGACTTGAAATAAACATCTTATATCTGACAAAGTTGAAAACTAGTTATTAGAAATCCCTTATATTAAAAAACAATTACATTATATTAAGTTATTATGAAAAGTGTAACACTTTTAAACCTAATAAAATTGAGGAACAGAGAAATTCTCTTTTGTCAGTGTACTTAAAATTAAATTTAAAGGAGACCACATCTTTTTTATCTTCTGACATCTCTAGTTATTACTGCTAATGAACTTTATAAACTTTAATTTTCCTCTGCTAAAGGAACAATGAGAAGCACTCTTGGGTTTCTAAAAATTTAAATGACAATGCATTGTAAGAAGTATTCATTGTGATTTAAAGATGTATTATAACCATAAAACGTAATGTTTCTAGGATCTTGGTTTATGTCTATGTTACCCAAAATAACAAGTACTCAGTGATCATTCAAATTATTTTTTTCTATTTCTTAACCATATCTAATAGGTTTTGATGAAAGTATCCTCATAATAAGTATCATGAACATAATAAGCATGATTAGTTAGATGAGGTGACACTCCTCCCACCCCTAATGCATAAATTGTTCCTAACTCTGCAAGGTGGGACCAGAAATCTGAAACAGAGAGATAGGGGTGGAGAGAAAGAATTTTAATAATCATATTCCTATTTTTAAAACAACTTAGGCAAATTTATGACAGCTATCAATATTCCATAATATCAATTTGGAAACATCTAAATAGTGGTTCAGAAAGTCAGTGAGAGAATCAGAAATAAAAGACAGTATGTTTGCTTTACTGAAGGAATGTATGTTTTCTTTTCTTTTGAAGAAAATGTTGCAGAACTTGGCAAACTGAAAAGAAATGCAAATTATAGAAGTAAACCAACTAAATTTCCATTCCCGTTAAATAGAAAAATTAAGAATTCTGTGAAATATATTGACATGTTAAACTTTCATTTTTTCATATGTACATAAAATATTTTATTTAATAGCCTATATAAATATCAAGATATTTCATGTTAAGATATTTTTTCATATGTACATAAAACATTTTATTTAATAGCCTGTATAAATATCAAGATATTATAGAAGTTAACCAAATTAGTAAACAGTCTTGAAAAAAATCAATGAGCTAAAAACATATTGAAACATAATTTTTTTTTTACCTGTGAATCCCCATTAGTAAATGCATGAACAGAGTGGAATATGATTATCCTGAGCTTTCAAAAATAATCATCTTCAATCTTGAAAGTCAGAAAGCCTTCTTGAGTCTTCTCTCAAGTATCTCCTCCCAAGAATCATTACCTCAGTACATCCAGGGAATTTGCTTACCCCAGTGTATCCTGAACCTACTCACTTTCTCATCCTCACTCCTACAACCCCAATCTAAGCCTTGTCACCTGCCATCAGAAATACGATTACAGCTTTCAACTGGGCTGCCCTCTTCCTTACTTGCCTTCTGTAAACAAGTCACTCTAGAGTGATTTTTAAAGAATAAAGTAGTTCCTGTCATTCTTTAGCTTAAAACCATCTGATAGCTTTTACCATTTCAACTGGCATTAAAGGCAACTTCTGAATCATGGCTTTGCATGATTAGGCCCCCTTTACCTTCCAGATTCATCTAATGTTACTTATCCTTAACTGAATATCTACATTAGTGTGATTTCAACTCCTTGAATATTCCTAAACTCTCTTCCCCTGGGGCCAACAATCCTGCTATTCCCTTCCTTCCCCGGCGGCCCTTTCTGTCTTTCCACAGGCCTTTCCTGATCACTCTGTATTCCTTCATCACTTTCTCTGCCGCAACCAGTGGTTTACCACGTAACACTTAGTGCTGTTTGTAATCATATGTAATTTCCTATTTATTGTCCATCTTCACCTGAATAAGCCCCATGGAAGCAGCACTTATATTTCCCTTGTTCTCCACTAACTAGCCTCTTGCCTAGCACAGTGTCTAACATAAGATAATTTTTAAGTTATTGTTTTTCCATTTCTTAAAAATTTTCTTTGGATTTATTTTTTAGAAATATATCATTACAAATATGGTAAATGCATATGGCCAAACCTCCTCAATCCTATTCCCCCACCTCCGTCCCCTTGGTTAGAGATAACTAATTAATGGTATCATAGTTTGCAAAACCTTCCAGAGCTTAATTTTTTTTTTGTCTCAACACTATGTTTTTGAGAATATTCATGTTGCTAGATGCAACTGTTTAATTCATTCATTTTTAAGGCTCTAGACTAATCCAATACATAAATATACCTCAATTTATTTACCAATTCTCTTTATTTTTTTTGATCAATTTCCCAAAAAGTCTATAAAGATTTAGGTTGTTTATGCAATGAGTGATCTTACACTATCACCTAAGGCATATTCGCACACGTTTCTCTGAGATGCATGCCCTAGTGAGACTGTTCTGTTGTGCGCATTTTCGGGTTCACTATGCCAGGTAATGACAAATTGCCCTTGAATTAATTTTTGTAACTATAGTAAAAACCTTCCAAAAGTAATCCAACGTATTTCCATCTGGACTGTTATTACATGTTGGAGTGCAGGAAATTCATTTTTCTTGTTCAGCCACTTGTAATATGTTGACTATTTACTCAACTGTAGAGCAACTGTATTAAGGCTTCTCCCACATCGTTCTGATTCCAGAATGAGTCATCCTAATTTTCTATTTCTAAGTTTTCATCCTAATATTCTGTTCCCACCTATAGACTTATAGAATGATGGGGAAGTTTCTCTCCTATCTCCTTAGAAGAGTAATCCTCTTCCTTGTCTTTCTTTACCTTCCATATAATGAGAATATACAGTGATATTCATTTCTCAGCCTACTCCAAGTCTAAGAAACAGCAGAGTTCTCACTGAGCCCAAAGAGTCTTAAACAATGTAAGAACTGAAGCCAATGGCATTGGCTGCAGAGTAATAACAGTAACATTAGTAATAATGGCTTTCTTATATTGAGTACTTATAATACTATGCTAGGCATTTATATCATTTAGTCTTCACTAAAACCTTATAATTACCCTCATTTTACAAATGAGTGACATTAAATAGTTTTCCAGAGGTCATACAACTAGTGAGTGTCTAACCTGTGATTCAAAGCGTGCTCTTTGCTACATCATACTGCCTTTCTGCGCCATGAAGACACATTGATTTAAAGTTACTTAATTTTTAAAAATTCCTTATTCCTGACTTTTTTCCTTGTCTATCACCCTTCCATTTCTCCTGTATCTCCATTTTTCACTAATGATTCAAAAATAGAAAATACTGTTTGTTTTCCCAAAAAAGAAAAAGAACTAAATAACATTACTGACAGTAATTATTTTCTGGGTCTTTTATAGGGAATGTGATTAAATAGTTTCCTTGCCCTGCAAGAGCAGAACAATTATAAATATCTCAGTGTAGTAATTAATATATATTAAGTATTTTTCTAACAAGCTGCTCTGAAATCTTCCAATTGAAATAGAGGATAAGGATAATTTTTTTTACTATAACTAATTGCCAACATCTAAAAATTATTTAAGGTCATTTAAAATAAACATATGGGAACATGAAATAAAGTAACAAGGTCTCTAATTAAATAGGTAGATACTTTGTCTGAAGAAAGCCTAGTTTTGATGTAAGTAAAAATAATATATTAATTCTGAACTTCCAAGAAGTCAAAATGAAAAAGCAAAACATGATGAATTACTTGGCTTTTGTTATCTTAAAAAAAATGATAGCTTTTATATACAACCAAGTAATATGTCTTACAATTTTTAATATAAGGTACACTGAATCAAAAAAGTTAGTATCCCCCATAGTGGTTTTATAAACAATGCAGAATATTTTCTAAATGACTATTTCTTATATTGAGCCCTAGTATAAATTGGTGATATAATCATTAAATTAAGGTTTTGTCCAGGCATCTTGAGAGGAGAAGTTACTGCAATATAGTGTAGGCATGCAGCTTGCTTGTGGGCTGACATATAAAATTAAGGGACATGACTGATAATCAGTTAACTTCTTTCTTCATGGAACTTTGTGGAGAAATCATGTATCTTTCGGTCCTGATTAGAAGCTGATTGCTTTTCTACACATTAGGGTATCAAGTTGAATCTATTTTCGCATGAACCAATGGAGGGGTTTCTCATATTTTGTTTATGTCATCTTGGTTGCCCACTGGAAGATGGAAACATTCAACAAATTACTGATTAATAAAAAATATTTTTGTTATTGATGTTATCATAAAAATGGAAATACCTTTGTTCTTTCTGGATGGGTAATCTTTATTAAATAATACTAAATGATAATTTGAACAAACTTAAGCAATTTTTGTCAATATGGTCTCCCCCAATATTCTTAACTAAAAGAAAAAAGCTGTGTGAATTCTGATGACACTACATATTCCCTTCTATAATTTCCATTTTGTAAAAAAGAAATCTACGAAGGAAATACTGTAATGACCTTGGGCTTCCAGACTGAAAATTTTGGAACACTAATAGATACAAAACAAGACTACTTGTCATGGATACGGTGGTGTGCTAAAAAGTGTTGTTGCACATGCAAAGGACAGTCTTTTTTTTAATAAGATGAAGTTTAGTGAAAGATCTCTTAACTAGAAACTAAAATCACATTGACTTTTAGGGTGGTTGTGAGTAAACAAAATACCATTTACGTTTGTCAGATTGTAGATGCTTAGGACAGTAGTTATCATCGTTGCCACAAAGGGAGCTTGTAACTAATGATACAAGGTGAACAAGTCAAAGGTAATTTTTTTCCTTGTTTTTAAGAAATAGTTGAAAACTTTGAGTAAATGATTTTTGTATGTATGCTTATTTTTCTTTTTCAGAATGTACAGAAAGTCCTATCACATGGTTGGCTTGGCATATCCAGAAGCTGTCATAGTAACATTAAAGGTGAAAAAATTTCAATTATCTTAGTTTTTCAAATAGTCATTTTTTAAAATCTCCTTAAAATGGCTAGGAGAAAATGAGTATAGGTCTTTGCTACAGCTTACATTTTAGAATGTAAAAAATATTGTAACCATTTACAAAATGTCATGTGTTCCAAATCATGACCCACTGTAGACTTAAATGAGGATCGATTTACACTAACAGACATCTATATCTATATCTATATACACATACATGTGATTTTTTTCTTCATGCTTTATTTAAGTGGATCTTGAATTCAATTTTCAAATGGCACCAGAATTTGTCAAAATACATGTATTTTGTTACTATATATTGTGAAAGAATTGAATGTGTTATGAAAACATGTTTTAGTCAAATATGGTTGAAGGATAAAACTTATATGGAAGAAAATTGTTTAGAATTTTAGGTCTGAGAAGATATTAAAAGTACAATAAAATTAAGAAAAAAACAAAAAAAGAAATTCATCTCTCTTATCTCTGGCTTTTCCTTTGGCTACCTAGTTAGAGGCTCAACTGTAGTATTATATGTATTAGAAATAACTAGAGTCAAAACTTTACATTTAATGTGGTGAAAGTTTTGTACTCACTTACTCGTCCCCATTGTGTGTGTGTGTTTTCCTTATTTCTGTCACTTAATTTGGGTAGGAAATTCATCTTTGTCTCCTCTCACAGTTTTATGGGGGTTTTCCTGTATTAACCAAGAATGTAAGGATTACTGACAACAGAATATACTGGGTTGCTTTATTTCTGATTTAGTAAACTCTTTTCCTAGTTTAAATTTATATTGCTTTCTTTTGTTCTTTAATTTCCTTTTAAGTACCTCTTTGCATTTGTCTTTTCTCTGCAGCATATTAGGCTTTAATCTTTTCATTTAAAAAGGTAGTTTGCTTTTCTTGGAAGCTTTTTTTCATTTTTATGTTCTAAAGCTATTAAAGAAGCAAATATATAACTGAAATGTCACGTTATCAGATGTTAATACTCCTTGGTTCTTGAGATGTTTTGATTTCATTATTTCCTCAACTGTGGGCAAGAGAATTACTAATTTTTATTTATTCATTTTGCTTAGAAACCAACTCACAGAGTATTTTGATATGAGAGAATGTAACGTTTTTCTAAAATGTGTAGAGAAAACATATGAACTAGCAGGTTGAGGAGAACTATCACTAAGTAAAGAATGTTTTAATTCTGACTTCCTGAAATACCTCCTTGTCTTGTTTGTTTTCAGTGTGACAACGTAAAAGCCTAGCATCTGCAGTAGTTTACAGGTGTAAATCGTCATTGTTGATAAAAATCTCCAAGAAATGGAGAGCTAACCTTGTGCACAGTGGGAAACCCCTAGCAGGAACTGCAACTAGCAGCCTTCTAACAGTATGAACAAATTCTCCTGTATTAGCTTTGTGATTTGACGAGATTTGTGAGCTTCTTTGAGCTTTACTGATGGTAAAATACCTTCTAACAGAACTGTGAGAGATTTTAAATTTACAAACAGATAAGCAAGTGTTTGGGAATCAAATTGGGACCAAATGCAAGGAATTTAACTAATTGAGGCACATAAGCAAATCACAAAACATTTTATTGGTGTTTCCAAGTGATTAAAAATACCATTGTTTTTACTGTTTGTGAAAAGAAATACTTTTAACAGATGGTTTGAATATTTGTTATCAGATTTGCAGTTTAGTTTCAGCATGTTATAGCACATACTGTTAGCCTCTGTAAAAGCATGTTAAATGGATGAAGTTCTAAACAGGGCCTGTTTGAATTCAATATTAATATAGAGCTTTAAGGCTATTCACTTACTGCTCAATACCAAACCTGCTGTGTGTATGCAAACATTAGACCTTCTTTACTAATAGTTTTTGATAATCATTAGAACTGACTGCTATATTTCTTTAGTTTTTTTTTATTTCAGTGATTTATTTAGTGTTACAAAGCAAGCTTTACATTAATGCCTCCCTAATGTACTAATATCACTTGCTATAAGTCCATTTCATGGACTCCTCCACAAGTTTGTGTCCTAAAATTACCTTCAGCATAAATGTGATGTAGCTGGAGTGGTTTGATACATCAACCCACTGCCCTCTTTTCCATAGTCAAGGGGTTCTTTCCTAGGGAATCTGTTTTCCTACAGGCCTGACCACTTCCCTAGGAGACTGCCTGAAATGCCAAAATTACTATCCTTCTCCTCAATCAAGAGGCCACTTCTTTTATCTTACCCTCTGTCCCTGGCAGAAAGTATAAATGAATCAGCCAAGGTTAGGGTGAGTAATAAGATAGTCTTACTCTACCTATAAAGAGTACTCTCTCTCTCTAGAGCATTTGGAGCTTTAAAGAGATATAAAATATCAAAGTTTTAAACCAAATTACTCTTACATGGTGGAATTTCAAGCAGTGTAGCAGGTGGGTGGGTGGGAAAGATAAATTTGGAGCTATCTTCCCTCTATCCCCCAATTGACATCACCCACATAACCTGCAATTCTATCTTAAAATGAGGCCCACTCTGGGAAAATGATTTATGGCATGCATTTAGAGAGAGATTAAGGATTAGGGCAGCATTATAGTGTTATCAGGCTTATTACATCAAATTGGATATCTTTGGGATTAAGGGGAAGATCTTAAGCACTACTGACCTCACTTTTGTGGATCCATAGGTATTAAGTGTCCCTGCCATATCAGACACCGGTAAAAATAGAGTTTGATGTGCTGAATTGAAATGTGACCCACTGGATGTACAATGCTTGATCTTTCCAAGAGTTTTTCAAAGAAAGAAACAGACCATATGATATTGTCATCTAAAATATTTACCTTTTTTTCCTACAGGATGTTGATAAATGGTCTTTTGATGTGTTTGCCTTAAATGAAGCAAGTGGAGAACATAGTCTGAAGTTTATGATTTATGAGCTATTTACCAGATATGATCTTATCAACCGTTTCAAGGTCAGAAATATAGAACAAAAGTAAAATGCTCTTGGAATTCTTTTTTTTTAAGTTTTTAAAAAATTTTTTGTTTGTTCGGGGAGGTAATTTGGTTTATTTATTTATTTTTATTTTAATGGAGGTACTAGGGATTGAACCCAGGATCTCTTGCATGCTAAGCACTCACTCCACCACTGAGCTATACCCTCCCCCTAGGATTAGTTTTCTGAATAAGAATGAAAATCCAGAACACTGAGTCATTAATTCATTTTAAAATGTTTCTGGTTGGCAAGTCACAGAACTAAGGGAATGCGTTCACCTCATCATATAGCTATTCTCCACAAACCACTGGCATATCTGTATATCCACTTGGGTATCATAAGACCATCATAGCCTCACTCCAACAAAATACAAACATCCCTCTGACTTATTCATGAAACATTAGTGCAAAGATTAGAAGCTATGTCTTAAAGAAGTATGATTTTCCTAAAATACAAAATGAACCATTATTGGCAGCTCTCCTTAAACTTAAATGAAAGGGGTTCCAATTAACTTCATTTGCAGCCATCTCAGCAACAGATTTGATTCAGATTTCTGAGCACCCTACAGCTTGTACTTATGGAATCATGGTATTTTTAGAGTTAGACAGTACTGGCAGGTCATTTATTTTAGCCCCCTTGAATTACTGATAGAGAAACTAGACTTCTCCAGTTGTAAATGGAAAAATCTTACTCCTTTAAGAACTAGCCTTCTTACCTGACTCTGGAAGGCACACAAATTTTAAAGATTCTGTGTTGGTAAATCTATTATTTCGTCTGTCTTAATTAAACACTTGGGGGTTACAATCCTTCTCAGCATCGAAAGCTGACAGGTTAATGAAGTGTTTTTTTCAGAACAGTCCAAAATTACCTTCAAGAAACTACTGCCCACATCTGACTCACTACTGTGTTCTATCCCAAACATTTCTGTGCTCATGTTGATTTAGTGCCACTCTTTTGGTCAAAATATAATCATAATTATTACTTTCCACAGATTCCTGTTTCTTGCCTAATTGCCTTTGCAGAAGCTTTAGAAGTTGGTTACAGCAAGTACAAAAACCCATATCACAATTTGATTCATGCAGCTGATGTCACTCAAACTGTGCATTACATAATGCTCCATACAGGTATCATGGTAAGAAAGTCTTTGTGACTGAAGTTTCTTATTTTGGAATATCATATTCTGTTACCTTAAGTTCCAGTTGTCTCTAATACCCATAAAAGTATTATAAATAGTAATCTTTGGGGATTTTTGTAGGGTTAATGAGTTATTTATAATATACATTTTTCAAAAAGTATTTTAACTTAGTGAAAAAAATTTTCAAAATTTGGATTATATAACATTTTTTGTTTGTAAATTCCTTTTCCCATAGGAATCAATCCTCCCAAAATAACCTAGACCTAGAGAAAAGTCTTTGGAATAAAAGTTAGTTGTAGTGCTCTTCCCTAATTTCATCATCCAGGCTGACGTTAGTAGCTTTTTCCCTTTAACATATATGCATTGCTAATTATAATCAAATCCTGATAGGGATTTTTGAAAATTATTCATGTGAATTTTTCTGAATTCTCCTTCCTCCTCTTTGCATCTGAATAAATCAGTTGCTGAGTGAATAAGTGATTCAGCAGTGCAAATCATGGGACAACAATGAGTAAATGGTGGGAACTCTGAGGCTGCCTGGAATTTCTGCACTGTCTCAGAATGTAGGATGACTCACTCCCAAGAGGTGAAAAGGGAGGAGCAGTCCTTCCTTCTAAGGTTCCAAACTGAGATGGGTTCAGAGGGGTGTGAGCCCTGTGAGATCCCCAAACCTGAGTACATTCTTGATTTCTCCTGTGTCAACCTAGGCTGAAGCAGTACCATAAAAGTCATGTAAGTAGAATGTTCCACCAAACCCAGTAGTATACATTGCCTACCTGTTTAGATTTCACAAGCCACACCCTTTTCATTGGTAAGAGTCATTGGCATTCAGATTTATGTAACTAGTACTCTTCCATGGTGTTTGAACACCTTCACTGACACAGTGGCATGACCCTCTGGTGACTTTCTAAAAGGCTGAATTATGTGTTATATTAACCTTATACACTGAGTTTTCCCTTTTCAAGATGTATGTATGTATGGGTATCACTCAGTTAAGGTATAAATGTGTCCATTGAGCCAATCAGATGCAGTCATGGCTAGACTTGGTCCCTGGTTGAAGTTTAGTCACCATTCATTCCAGGATTATGACTTGACATTTAAAGGGAGGAAGTAGAGTTTAGCAATAATAAGTAGAAACTCAAGTATTCAAAGATATAGCTTTGAAATATTGTAAAATTTTTTAAAGTAGTATATGTAACTTTCTTTTTATCTGTTTCCCTTTCTAGCATTTGTGCACACACACATTCTTCTAAAGCTCTGTTGCTTTAATAAGGCTTCATTGTCACAGCTGTTTCTTGAACTCTTTGCTTTCACTTGGTTTTATATGCACAGCAATTAGGGTGAAAAACTGCTTGCTTCCTGACAGTTGCAAATGCTGTTACACTTGAAAAAGTTGCTTTAACATCTTCCTGGTTAGATCTACTTGCTTTTCTTTTCTAAGGCCTTGGTCTTGAATCTGGTGGTGAGGTGGTTTTCATTTCAAGTGTTTGGCATTTCCTCTTTCCTGAATTCTGTGGCTTTGAAAAAGTTAACTGGTGAATGAAATCTTTAAGTGTTAATTTGAAATGGAAACTGAACTAATTAAGTTTCCTCATGACAAAATGGAATGGAAAAGGAATGCCTACTTCTGTATAAAAAATACCTGCTTTAATTATGAAGTACAATAAGAAGATACATGCCATTCTGGTAGGTAACCAGAATTTCATCATTTTAAGATACATTTCTGTTTATGTACCACAAGTGTAAAGGGGACCAAATGAAAGTCTCCTATTTCAGCTTCAGAACTTTTGTTCTAGAGGTGACATGGCACAGGTGAAGGATGCTTTATTACCGGTAAATAGAGAAATTCAAATTCACAATGTGAATCTACCCTCAGACTTGCAAGGAAGACTTGTTCCTGGATATAATAAGCCATTCCAACTTCTCTGGAAGACTGGGGTAATCTGGCCCAGCCTGGCATAGCTCTTAAAAGTTGAAGTTTTAAGTAAAGATGACATAGTCACTTTTTGAGAGGCTCATGACTTACCAATCATAAATATAACTTCACTCTACTTTAGCAGGTTTAGGTTGGAAACTTATTTATTAATTTATTCATCCGTTAGCAAAAAAGTCTTGGTAGGCTCTCTTAGTTTGTCCATTACAAAAATAGTTGAATGGGAGACTGTCAGTGTTGTCCAGAATCAGGAAAATACAGTTAAACTAATGAGAAGTTTGATGATGGATGGTGAAAAGAAAGGCAGAATGAATTTTCAATTTATTGACTATTTGTCAAAACTAGGTTACACTGCCAGCTTGATAGTTTTAGGAAGTTATTTTAATAACTTATTTAGTAAGCTTTTCTTTAGATTAAAAAGTAGTGTTAGGTGAGTATTAATTTTCATACATATAAATGTCTGGTTCTTTGAAACAAAAAAAAATTATAGAAATATTCATTGTCCTTTGGTTTGATATGGAGAAGACTGGGTGTTCACTTAGTGTTTGAGTAGATGCCCTGCTGTTCCAGGATGGTCTTATCAGTGTGACATTTATAGAGCACTCCAGCTGTAGCCTAACGTTTGTCAGGTGACTAGGGCAGTTTGTCACCTGCCTCATGTTCATAGGATCATTGCTTGAGACGTTTTGTGATGAAGCCATTGGCCTTCAGTTTGTTAATGTCATATAGGACACTCTCAGGCAGTGCAGAGTTGATGCTAGGACACCCTGTCTCCCTCTATCTCCTTGTGTCACTTAATTAACTTGTAGCCCTGTGCCACAGTGACAGGGGTGTGCAGTAGCTCAGTCCATTTGATAAAGGGCAAATGCTTCACTGAGTGCTGCCAAGCCACTTCCAAATGTCTCTTTGAATGTGAAATCATCTGAGGGCCTTGGCAAGGGAACACTTGTGTTTGAGGGCGCCCGGCACTGTGTTCTCTATAGTACAAAGAATAGAAGAAAGACAGATAACTTGAAAACTATTCTTTTGGAATATAACTACACTGAGAAATAGCCCCTCACACTCTGAAATGATTCAATTTTTCTCCAATCAATCTACAGAAAATTTGCCACTCTATCTCTAGTCTACAAACTACTTGGGAATTCTGTTCTTGTAAATGGCTTCCAATACAACACTGTTTAGAAGAGTGGAAAGAGCGTGGGCTTTCAAAGCAATGACATAGGTTTGAAACCTCCTTCCTGACTTCCTTGCTCACTTGCTCTCTGCCTCTGTTCCCTAATCACTAAACTGTGGTTAATAATGCTGACTACCTTATAGTAGGACAGTGAAGAGTAACATCATGTATGTAAAACACCTAACCCAGTTCCTGAAACATAATAGTGATTAACTGATTCTCTAATATCAGTAAAATTATTATTAATTATTGTATTATATTATATATTAGCTTATGTGTGTTATGTGTTAATATTATTATAATTTACTCTTTCCATATCAGGTAAGTTATAGCAAACTACCTCAGCCTATTCAAAGAGATAGAGAAGAAAAGGTCCAACCTTACCTAAAACGTAGGCTAAAAGAGTTGTTAATTATACCCTTTTAGACACTCCAGAAACTGTAGGTCAGTGTGGTGTTCGGATCTGAAATTTTCCCAGCCCTATACATACACATGTATACTTTCTCTGTTTCACACACACACACACACACACGTGCTAAATAATTCAGATATAAAAATTACATCATGTCTTTTTTTTTTAGTGAATACTTTAAAATGTTTAATACAAAATTTGTTCTTGCAACTTCTCTACTGGAATGGAAATTCCTTGAGGACATTGCCTTTATACTGATCTTCTTTTACATCATAAGTCTTAAGTCAAAGCTCTATTAGCTTCCACCCATCAGTATATCCAGTTAAATTATCTAGAAATTCTGTTTTTGAAAACTTAGAAGACTGTATTCAGCACATTTCCTCCCTTGAATAATGAAAACTATTATTATCCACAAAAGGAAGGAATATTGCGATCTGTGGAAAGAACAGAAACTTTGGAATCAGATAGATTTTGGGTTTAGTTTCTGCTCTGCCACTTGAGAGCTCTGTGACCTTTAGCAGGTTGATTTACTTCTGTAGGATCCAGCTTTGTTATCTGCCAAATAGGAAACAATATTTACCTAATAAGTGCTAAATAAGGTGATTATAAAAATTAAATAAGACCATTTAGCTTAAAAGTCCAGTTAACGTTAGTTCCTCCACCTTCCTTTCCATCAACATTGTTCGTGCTATAAATGGCAGTCACTGCCTCTCTCTGACATAATTTGAGGACTGCTCATTTTAGAGTAAATCTACCCAAGCAATTCTCTAGGCAAAACACAACCTGCAGTTTAGATGAAGCACAGTGTCTACATTGCTCATGACTCTTCATGTTAACCCTTTATTTCCACCCATTAGGAATCAGAAGAACTTAGGTTATATACTGACCACTGTTCTAGTCGAGAAGAGTGAAATGATTCCTCCTTATTCTCTCTGGCTTGTCCTCATGAGTTATTTACAAAACCCATAAATTTAGGCATTCATTTTCTGAGTTAGAATTCTCATTGGACACCAGTGTAAAATGAATTGTCAATTAAGATCATAAAAATAAGCCCCCAATTCTACTGTCACTAATATAAAATAGATGTATTTTTCAATTAAGCTATTCCCAAGCTAGTTTATAATGTAAACTTAATTGTTAAAACTATATAGTGTGGCAATAAATGCCATGAATTCATGAAGGAAGTGCTATTTATGGGAGGCAGAGGTTAATGAGACTAAAAATAGGAAATACATGTATAATCAATTTTGACAACTAGAAAGATAATAATTTTAAATGCTTATGAGATAATCTATAATTAAAATCCATCTCTGACTTCCTAATTTAATTTTTTACAATTGCAACTTCATATTCTATGTTATCATAGTAGTATATACTGTTGCTTTTTAAAAATCACAAAGAAGTCTGTAAGTCTGTAAATCTTAAATATAACCAATATTGTAAATCAACTATACTTCAATAAAAAAAATAAAATTAAAAATAAATAAATAAATAGATAAGTTGAATATATTTTTTAAAAGCCCAAAACCTTGAATGGTTATGTGAATAAGGAATAAGCTACTTTTGTGTTTGAGCCATTAAAGAAAACAAAAAACAAAACAGGATTGTCTGATTCCACAGTTTCCCTCCACTATCCCTTATTACCTCCTCCTAATGCGAAACTAGCGAAATTCAATTCAGCAAATATTAAGTTCCTACTATGTGTTAAATACCATGATGGGTTATGTGAGAGGAGCAAAGGTGGATAAGACTGCGCCTTTAGCAATTATGAGACTCAGCAATGTCACCTCCGTATTTTGACTCATGGACCTACAATGTTTTCCTCTTGCCTTTTATCCAAAATCTTAATTCATCTGCTCTGACATCAGCTCTTTCCCATACTCTGAACTCTCGTCTCTATTTCACTTCACTTGACTCTTCAACATAATTGTTCTATTAGCAATTCAGTTGCTTTGTAGGCCCCTATAGTATCATTCCACATTTGCTCTTTCTGTTTAGAATCTCTCTGTTCCCAACCTTGCATTTAGCTACCAGTCTTTGTCCATCCTTCTTCCAAGACCCACTGCCACCAAATAGATATCTCATTTGCTCTTCTTTGGAGCCTTTATTCTGTGACCTTTTATCAAGTATGCATGTACTGTATGTTATATTTTTCTGTTGCTTTGTGCAAAGTCTTTTTTCAAGTGTACAGATTAAGACCGCTAAGAGCAAGTTCCATATCACTTTTGATCCTACTTTCCTACCATCAAGTACCACCTACTTGCAGTTCTCACCAATAGAACTTCCTATGATGATGGAAATGCTTTGTATCTGCACTGTTCCATATGATAACCATTTGCCACTATTGAGCAGTTGAGATGTGGCTACTGTGACTGGAAAAGTAAATTTTATTTTATTTTATTTATTTTAACTTATATAGTCACATATGGTTATCATATTGAACAGTGCAATTAAAATGTTATGCAAAATGTGAATGATGAATAAACTATAGGATTACCTAAATGGACTTATAATAGTAGAGAAATTTTGTTAAACCATCCAGTTGATAAAAATATCAATGTATATGAAGAAGGTGGTCTGGATTTTATGTGAAAGCATTTATTCTTTCATTGTTATTAAATTGAATTGTATAGTCATATGGTATATATATTAAGAAGAGCAAATTTGATAAATTCTTGGAAACTTTTCTAAATCTCTAAATATAAAAACTAAATTCAGTTTCTCTAATGACCAAAGAGAATATTTTTAACTCTTACATGGAAAATTTTCTCATAGTAGGGCCTTCTATAAAAATTGAGCTAAAAGACTTTGTATTGTTGTATGAGTTATATGTTAAAAATCACTAAACTATAAATGATTTCATGAGACCCCCCCAAATTGGTAAGGCTGTGAATTTTAAATCCATTTAGAGTTCACCTTCTAAATCATAGGAAATTACTTCTTTCCCAATTAGCAAGGAAAATTATAATGTTTGAATTTTGAACTTACAAGCTATGAAACAATCACTGACTTCATGAAGTATCCATTATGTACAATTAATGGCGATTAAATAGGGAAAAATTATTTTAAATTCATAAAAAACAATTTTATATGATGCTTTATACTGAGTACAAAGAAATTTTTTTTATAGGAAGACACCATTGACTCTGCTTTTTAATATGATGGAATCTTCTTTTAATTTAACAGCACTGGCTCACTGAACTGGAAATTTTAGCAATGGTCTTTGCCGCTGCCATTCATGATTATGAGCATACAGGAACTACAAACAACTTTCATATTCAGACAAGGTAAGGTAGACAAAGTATTACCTTTTCCAAGTTAATACTTGGAATTATTTTTCTGCATATTACTTAATTATCTCTTTAAAGACCTTATCTCTAAATACAGTTACATTCTAAGGTCCTGGGGTTAAGACCATAAACATAAATTTGGGGGGAACACACTTTAGTTCATAATAGGAAGAGGCTCTAAGCTCTTAGGTTGCACAAAGATCTTAGTGCCTGGGGAGGCAGAATCTGGGCTAGGACCCATCAGGATCCAATTCACTTCTATACAGAGGACCCTGAAATTTCTATGTCTTTCACTAGTCAGATGCTTAAAATGGAGATACAATTTGAGAAACTGATTTTCTCCAAAACTGCTGTAGAACTCTCTATTCTTGTTGAGGGAAAACTAAACCTAGTTATTTTTGTTTTTTTTTAATTAATAGACTTTATTTCTTAGAGTAGATTTAGGTTTACAGAAAAATTGAACAGAAAGCAGAGTCCCCATATAATCCCTCCCCCAACCCCACAGTTTCATGTATTGTCAGTATCTTGCATCAGTGTGGTATATTTGTTACAACTGATGAACCAGTATTAATACATTATTATTAACTAAAATCTATAGGGTTAGGATTTACCTAAACATTGGGTTTACTGTTTGTGTCATACATTGTATGAGTTTTACAGATGTATAATGCCATATATCCACCATTATATATCATACACAATAGTTTCACTGCCCTAAAAGTCCGCTGTGTTTCATCTTTTCATTCCTCGCTTCTCTTTCCCCCTTTACCCATGGCAACCATTGGTCTTGTTAATGTCTCTATAGTTTTTCTTTTCCAAAATGCCATGTATTTGAAATCATACAATATGAAACCTTTTCAAGCTGGCTTCTTCACTTAGCAATATGCATTTAAGTTTCCTATATGTCTTTTTATGACTTGATAGCTTATTTCTTTTTATTGCTGAGTAATAGAACAGTGTGAATATAAGAGAGTTTACTTATTCACCTGTTGAAGGATATCTTGGTTTCCTCCAAATTTGGGCATTTATAAATGAAGCTGCTATCAATGTTCATGTGATGGTTTCTGTGTGGTCTATTCATTTGTTTTTTAATAGCAGTATTTCTAAGAACTGATTTTCCACCTATAGGAAGGTGAAATATTATTATTATTATTATTATTATTATTATTATTATTATTATTATTTT